AAAAAAAAAGAAGGGAGAAGGATAAGAAAATGATGAATTAATTAATGAAAGGTTTTATACATTTATATATTACTTTATTTTAATAAAGTTTGTTTTTAACAGAAAAAGAAAAAAGATCAAAAATGTAATTCAATTGATTATTGGTCTTTGTTTAATAAAACACTGATTAACAATAACCCAATAACTGTCCATTTAAGGATTGGATAATCAGTTAATGCAATTGTAATCATTCCTACATATGGAATATGAGCATATGATTTTCCAATAATTTGATGTGGTTTTAACCATAAAGGACCTCCATATAATCCTCTATCATCAACAGGATTATTATCTCCTTTAGTCAAAAAACGAACATCACCTTTAGTATCTTTATGAATTTCTATTACTCTGTGAATGATTGGAATTCCTTTAGATGGTAAATTATAAACAATAATATCACCTATCTGAATATTGTCAACACCACCTTTATTTGTTAAAAACATTAAATCACCTCTTTTAAATCCTGGTTCCATAGAACCACTTAATATAACAACAATTGGTGCTTCTGTGAGAAATAAAATACAAAGTGCTTTCCACATTATTACAGCAGATGCAACAATTAATCCAAACTGAGTAACATTTTGAATAATTAATCTAGGACCCATAGACATAAGAGATTGAATAGGAGCAAACATCTCAATTAGGTACAACTGAATATCAAGTTTCATCTATGAATGTATTAAAAACAATTCTAATTTCTTTTTATTATTCAAATAATATTTCTTTCTTTTATTATTCTCTTTTGATATTATGTTTTATTTATCTCTCAGAAAGAAAAACTATTTCTTTTAAAGAATAAAACAATTAAATCAAAATACCAACTTAAACTTTCATTTATTCAGCTTTTTTCATTTCTGGTTTCTTTCCTGCATTGAAGTCCCTCTTAAGCTTTCTTTCTCCTTGGATTTGCTTAGCTTCTTCATGAACAGCTGTATGAATGCTTTGTTTAAGAGTTGATGGAACAGCATCTTCTGGAAGAGCAAGTTTTTGTCTAAGATAAGCAATTCCTTCATCATTAAGTGTCCAATAAAGACATCTCCAGTTGCAGGTTTCTTTAACACACTTTTTAGTGGCAAGACCTTTCATCAACATAAAGACTTGAAGATTTGGAATACCGAATACTGGATGGAGGCAAACAAAATCTTTATGGCAAACAATGCATCCGTCGTTGAAAAGTTGTTTATAAATGGCGATGATATCTTTGGTAGCAATTCTCATCTTGACTGACTCTTCCCAACAGTTCTTTTTTTCAGTTTTCTTTTTTAATTCCTAGGGTTCTTTATTATTTTTTATTTCTATTTTACTATTCTTTCTACTTTTTTTACTATTCTTTATTCCTTTTGTTTTTCTTCTTTATCTTTTTTTCTTCTTGTTGTATATAACACTTCCTTTTATAACAAAAACTTCTTGAAAATTTAACCTAATTTTATGTTTTATTGATAATGCCTTTAATTCTTTGTTAATTGTTAATGTATACTTTCTCGTGAATCACTTCCACTTTCTCCACCTTTTGTTTGTTGTGGTGCTACATACTTAACTGAGACAGAACTCGACCGTCTTGGTGTTGGTGAGCTATTTAATATTGATGATTTAGGTGTCTTACTTTCTTTATGTTTAATTTGTTTTTCAGGGTCTCTTGAACAAATTTTGTCAAGCCAATTTAAGCTAACACAATTATTATGAAGAATTGTATTACAATCTAAAGTATAAATATATATTTATTATTATTAAATAACAATATAACAAACATTCACATAATAATCCTTGTCTTAAATGTACTTTTCCTTTACATTTAGCACAAACACCTTCTTTATTATTAACAAGATATGAATGTCGATAATATCCTGTAACTAATGATTGAATTTCACCACCACATCCAAAGAATAATGTATAATTTGAAAGATGTTTTTCTGGATTTTCAATATTAAGAATACATCCACCAACTAATTCACTATTACCAATTGTAGCAACATTATCTATTTTTAATTCAGTATTATTAATAGCTTTAATTGATCCATCTCCACAACATACCCAAACATCATTAATAAATGGAGTAAGTGTATTTGGTTTATTTACTTCAAATGTAATTGGTTGTTTTCCTTTTTGAAGAACAGTAATACAATCTTTTGTATTTAATGCAATATAAAGAGAATTATGTAATGCTAAAATATTTGATACAGGCACTTTTCCAATTTCTTTTATCATTATAAATTTACTTTTTGGTGTTGGTGGAAATTCTGTTCTAAAAACACCACCAATAGTACCAACATGTAACATTTTCTTTAATACACATGCACTTGTAGTAAATGATGGAATTTTTAATTTATACCATTTATATTTCATTTTCTTACTAAATTCAATAAGAGCAAAATCCCCTTGTTCTGAAAGAATCCAAACAATACCTTTTTCTGATCCAATTTCAACAATTCTTGAAGCTAATGAAAGATCACATTTAACTTCATTTCTTATATCTCCATCATAAATATTTATTGTTCCATTTTCACTTCCACAAATTACTTTTTTATTTATTGAATGAACTGCAGATATTCTCCATGGTAATGTTATACTTGTTATTTCCATACAATCCATACTATTAAATGTAGATATCATACTTTTATTTCCTTCTACTTTTTTACATGCCCAAATAGTTCCATTAACTTCCCAAACATGTGATATTATATTCATATCATCTTTTGGTGATGTTATATCTTCTTTTTCACTTTGATTAACTTTAGCAATTAATTCATCAACATCTCTTGCTGCTTCTCCAGTACTTGATATTGTATCTTTATCTCTTGGTGGTTCAGTACTAGAACCAAATGGTGAACTTTTTGTTGATCCAACATTTAACATTAATGGTGAATAAATTCCTGTAAATTCACTTCCTCTTCTTATTTTACGTGATATAGTTGTTCTTGATGATGAAATAATACCATCATCTCCTAATTTTATTGGAGATACATCTTTTTTCTTAAACTTATCATTAAATAAATAAATTTCTCTAAGTATCATATCATAATTCTTTAAATTTTCTGGTAATTTTTCTTGAAATGAAGAATGACTTTGAGTAGAAAGATAAAGTTGTTCTATTGCTACATTTGTTGTATATCCATATTGAATAAATGTTGGATTTAAAATTGAAATACATTTATTTTGAATATGTAAAAACATTAGTCTATGATAAAAATGATCTTTCATTAATTCTTCAACTTCATTAATACTATTATTTAATTCATTAATATTAGATAATGATTGAATTGTAGTAAATAATGATTCACAACATGATTTTAATACTGAACTTTCATTACTTTCTGATTTAAATGATAATCCTGATAATCCACTTCCTCTTTTTTTTAATGTTTCATTTTCTTTTTTAATTTTTTTATAATTATCATTTAATTCTTCATATCTCTTATTTAAATCATCATAATTATCTTTTAATTTCTCACTTTGTTTAATTTGTTCTTTTGTTGAATCTCTTTCTTGTTTAAGTAATACAATATCTTGATTTAAACTCATAACTTTCTTTTCTAATAATGACTGTTGCATTCGTAAATCATCTTTCTCTGTATCTACATTTTTTATAAGTATAGCATCTGTAATTTTTGTTCCATCTAATAATACCCTAAACGTCATTTCTAATTCTGATGGTCCAACCCCTCCATTAATCATTTGTCCTTGTAATGTATGTAATTGTTTAATAGTTTCTGCATGATTTTTTCTTTCATCTTCAATTTGAGTAACAAGATCTTCACGTTCATTTTTCATTTTAGTCATTTCAGCAAGTATTTTTTTCATACTATTAGCAGATTGTAATATTTGTTCTTTTCGAGTCTCATTTAATTGTGTTGCTTCATTCAATTTATGTGTCAATTCTCTAATCTTTCTTTCTAACTCTTCCTTTTGTGCAATAGTTGTTCTTTTTAATTCGGAATATTCCTTAATAATATTTTCAAGCATTTCTCTCGTATCGTCATCATCAGTATCATCATCAGTTCTACTTTCTTCACTTTTTTGACTATCTACACTTTTGGAATCTGAATAACTATCACTATATGACTCATCATCATGACTATATTCTCCATTATATGAATCTGATTGTGACTCAGTATCACTAACCTCACTCCCTCTTGTCTTTTCTACTTGGCTTTCCTTAACGCTCATTCCTCGTTATATTTGCTTTTTCAAGTGAGTTCCTTCTTTTGGATTTTTTCTTTTTTAATTACCTAATTAATACTAATTATAGTTTATTTACTATTCCTGATAGATTGTCTTCGTTCGTAAGAGAAGCTTGTTTTTCTCTCTCCAAACTTTCTAAAAATCTTGTTTCTACCACTTTACTGTTTTTATAACTCCTTTTTCTTACTTTTATTTCTAAAATACAAAAACAAATCGTATAAGATAAACCTTTTTATAACACTAAATTATTCCTCTTCATCCTCATCATTATGTACTTCTACTTCTACTCCATTTGACTTATCTTCTTTCTCTTCATTTCCATCATAATATCCTTCATGTTCTCTTGAGGGATTCATGTAATTAACTAGCTTTAAGACATCTCGAGTTAATTTACAAGACAAACAAGGTGCTACAATGGCAAATCCATGAATTAAAGCTAAAACAATTAAAATAGGAATAAATGCACATGTCCAATAATAATTATGTTTACTTCCAATATTTAATCCAATTAAAAATGTTTGAAGAATATAAAAACTACATTTAATCCATGCCCAAATAATGAAATTAATATCAAATTTTTCTGATATTGGTCCTGAAAAGAATGTTGTAATTTTAATATTAGATAACGTTTCTTCTATTGCATTAATAAAAAGATAAACTGCAAAAACCCAAGTAGCTGCTGTATATTCAGGTTCTATTTCATTTATTTTTCTAATATATTGTGCATACCATAAACAAGATATAAATCCAAGTAATATACTTGATTTAAGACATTTAAATGTAACATTTTTAGTTATTTCATAACAAGAATATTCATATTGATGTTTTATTTTTTTACCTTCTGGATTTATTGTTATAACAATATTTGGTTCAAAAAACTGTTTAATACTAATCACAAAATCAAAAAATACAAAGAAGAATGCTGGAACTAAAAGATTTCCCCAATGTGTATTAATACTATCATCCATTCCAATTGAAATAAAAATAATTGTTAATAGAAAACTTACCCATTTCATAATTGAAAGAATCTTATTCAAAACTCCCTCTACAAATAAAGATGAAAAAATAGGTATTAATATATAAATATATATTGGTATTTCAATACATGCAAAATACCATGTCTTAGGAACATCTAATCGAATTAAAAACATTATAATCCAAACATCAAATAACCCTACTATTATTATTAATAATGGAATAGAACAACATGACATACAATTTAAACATAATGACATTTGACAAATTAATTCTTGATATTCAAAAATGGTATATCCAAACAAATCATATACTCGTTTATTTCTATAATTTGATAAGAAATTATATGCATCAGTAATTTTTTGAAATTTTTCAGCTGCATCTTCTTCTTTAGATTTATCAGGATGATATTGTAATGCTAATTTACGATATGCTTTCTTAATATCTTCTTCATTTGATTTATTTGGTAATCCAAGAATGGAATAAAAATCTTTTGGATCACTAAAATCAGGAGTATATTCATCCATTCTTTCTGTTTTTAAAGAAGAAAGTTTTATTTAGTAAAGATACTATTTGGTATGTTTCTATCATTCATTTATTATATTTTATTATAATGTTATTCTATTTTCTAATTCTTTATTGTATTTCTTAATTATCTTTTTAATTATTACTTTTTAGGTTTTTTAAACTTCTTTCCTTTTTAAAGCATAAAAAACTCTATGTAAGTAATAAAAGAATCATTTGAATTTATTTCTTCAAATAGTCCTCTTCTATTTAGACCCTTCTTTCTTAAGTAATATTCTTTTGTTCTTTATTGTACTTTCATCATCTTTTTAGATTTTGATTTACTAATCTTTTTGTTTTATAAGAAGAGGAATTTTAATAAATGTTACTTTACTTATATATTTTTCAATTTCCTTTTCATTTTATGATTTGGGTATTATTTGGGTTATTATCTTCTTAGATCAAACAAAAACGAAAATGAGAAAAGACAATATCAATCTTGTTTAGATTAAGAGAAAATGAAGATGATTCTCCTTGATGAAAAAGTCAGAAATATGTTTTTCTCTTTTGTTATGCTTCAAAGGGACAAAAGTCAAGAAAAATACATTTCTTTTTAAAAAGCAAAATGGAAAACTCAAAATAAAATTGAAGATGGAATTGTCCAATCAAGTGAAAATTCGGCATTTTAATATTCTCTCACCATCAAAAGTAGACGTCAAAGTCATTATAAATATCGTGGTTACCAAGTAAACAAAAAATGCAAATATAATTAGTTTAAAAAGAAAGAGTATCAGATAAAGAGAACTTCTTTAATTACATGACCCGACCATTATTGATAAGCATTCTTTCAGACACACATGGATTACATGAAAAAATAAAGATTAGACCATGTGACTTTTTGATAATTTGTGGAGATATAAGTGAGAGAGGAAAGAAAGGGTCATTAAAAGGATTTAAAGAATGGTTAAATGATGTTCCAGCAGACAATATTATTTTAGTTTTTGGGAATCATGAAAAGAAAATTATTAAGGAATTAAAAGAATGGTTAGAAGATATACCAAGACTTTATATTCTTAGTGACTCAATTCAAATAATTCATAATATCCAATTTCTTGGATTTTCTTTTCCAGTAAATGACCAAATTGTTGAATGGGCAAATAATAATGTTATTAAAGAATTACCATTAATTATTGTTAGTCATGAACCTCCATATGGAATACTTGATCTTAGACAAACAACTAGTACAAAAAATAGTAAAAAATATAGGCATGGTGGTTCTAATCCACTTCTTCGATGTATTATTTCATTACAACCACAACTTTGTTGTTTTGGTCATTGTCATTATTCTACAGGAACAAAAAGATATGGAGAAACATTATTTGTAAATGCAGCTATGGTAAATGAATTTGGACAACTTTGTAAACATCCAAAAGAATTAATTTGTTTTAACAAATATTTCTTTGATGCAGTTTGGAGAGATTCTGTAAAGGATAGATATTTTCTTTGTGAATAATGAATGTATTGATTAATATTTTTAATTGGAATATAGTTTTTCTAATGACTCCAATTTCTTAAAGTATTCTTTTCCTTTTGAAAAGAACTTAATAAACAATTATTTCATAATTTTAATTATAGTAGAATTAAAATGAATAGTGAAAGTATATATTATGTATTTCTTCTTGTAATGGTGATAATTGGATTTATTGTATTTGTTATACTTCATTATGTTACTGCTGGATATGGAATGTTTCAAACTGATAAATGGGGAGTAACAATAAACAACAGAATTGGATGGTGTATTATGGAAATTGTATCAATGATAGGTATGCTTATCTTTTATGTCTATTCTTCTGTAGATGAAATAGTCCCAAAAATTTCATTAATTCTTTTTGTAATTCATTATTTTAGAAGAAGTATTATTTTCCCATTAAGAATGTCAAAAGGAGGGAAAATGCCTATTATTATAATGTTAATGGGAATGGTATTTAATTTATGTAATTGTTATGCACAAGCAGGATGGTTATTTTTATATCATCCACCATATTATTATTTAGGATGGTTTAATACTCCACAATGTTATTTTGGAGTGTTAATCTTTTTTGTTGGAATGGCAATTAACGTTCATTCTGATGAAATAATAAGAAACCTTCGTAAAGAAGGAGAAACAGAGCATAAATTACCTCAGGGTGGGTTATTTGATTATGTTACATCTGCTCAGTATTTTGGAGAATTAGTTGAATGGTTAGGTTTTTCTATATTTACATTATCTCCAGGTGCTATTGTATTTTTTCTTTGGACATTTGCTAATCTTATGCCAAGAGCAAGAAGTATTCATTTTGCTTACAGAAGAAAGTTCAAAAACCAAGTTGGTGAAAGAAAAATTTTGATTCCATTTATTTATTAATCTAAAATTCAATTAATATTTTATTTGTTTTTACAAAATAATGATTTTAATCAACAAGTTAAGCCATGTACCATGGAATAGATTGTAAACTTAATAATTCCATATCATCTTCTGAAAATATACTTTTGTCATATTTTAATAATTGACCAAACTTTCTTCTAAATGACATTAAGGTATTATTACAATATTTCTTAATTTGACTATTCTTTGGTTTAAAATGAAGAAGTTGATGAACTGCACTTTTAATTGAATTGTTAATAAAGAGTGTTCGAGATAGTACAATGCATGATAATGCTGTAATATAAAGATGTTCATTACTAATATTATTATCTAATTGCTTTTCAGTAATCTTTTCACAAAATTCAATGTCATTTGTTTTTTGAATATAATGTGTCATAAGATCAGAACAACAAGAATTAACTATAAAGTTATTTGTGTTCATCATTTTATCAAAGTTAAGTTGACTTACAAAATCCAAATTATTCATTGAGCACAAAGTATCAAGCACTAACAGTTTACCATTTTTATCAGAATCAAAATAAAGTTGTTGAATCTTCTCAACAAATTGGGATTGAACTTCTTTCTTTACCATACTAATTGGTTTTAATATTTTAGAATTATCAAATGGATATAATTTACTCAAAGTATGAATAGTTTCAATACAAAGTTCAATAGTATTACTATTAATTATATGAAGAGCATTGAATATAACATTTATATTAGCATTGAGAGTAGTATTAGAAGTTGATTTATTGTTATCTTTTAGTATTTGGAGGAGTAATTTGATAATTAGTTTGTTAAATCGGTTATCATTTATTAATATATGAATGAATTTACTGATGTCTTCTTTATAACATCCACAAATTACTGTTCCATTAAACAATGTACTAATTGTTGTTTCAATCAATGAATAGTTACAAAAACTATATTTGATTACAAAGAGAATGATTGTTTTGTTATAATTTCCTTTAATAATACTTTTAATGCATCTTGAATAGATTTCTTTTAATAAAGTATAATCATTCTTAATGAAATTATGCATTATATTTTCATGATCTGAATTTATTACTTGAAGCCAATCTATGCAATGACTTAAAATATATTCTTGACATTCTAATCTTTCTTCTATTCCAAATGATTTAATTCCTGCAATAAGTCCTTGAAGAATGTAGAATTTCCCTTTGTTTTCTGGTTCATACTTGTTAGTAATTACTTCAATAATATTTTTAACTTCTTTGAATGTGAAGAAATGATATAATATTATAAATATATTTTGTTTTAATGGAATAGTTCTTTGACAGTCATAGATGAATGGTGTTTCAATACATTTTTCAAGCATTTGATGAGTACAATGTTTTTGAAGAATTTCATTAATTTTATTATTATGAATTTCATTGTCAATTACTTTAATTTTATATGAATCAAATACATCATTATATCCACAATATATAATGTTCATTATTTCATTATTTTCTTTGATAAATTCATTTCTATCATTATTTATGATTTTAGAATGGGGTTGTTTTTCAATTGAATTAATTACTAATGAAACAGTCATTAATAGTATAAATGATACAGCAGCACTTGTTTCTTTATTGATTTGAAGACTATAATCAATGAATTGGTAAATGTTTTCATCAACCAATAATTCTTTTTTTGTTTTACAATATTGGTTTATTGAATTAAATAATTGGTTCATGTTATTAAATGTTAATGGAATACATCTAATCAATTGGTTGAATACTTTGAATCCATTTGTGAGGTTAGAACAAATGTATTGATTATTGAGTGATTTCAATAACATTTCAATCATTGATGTTTCATCCATCACACCCAAAGTGTCTTTTTTCATCAAATGAATTACTTTTTTAATGTTTATATCTTCAATTCTTTGAATTAAATAACCGACACTATTATTAAAAATATTTCCTCCAATAAAATATTCAATTGGAATAGAGTTTAATTTCTTTTGTTTTGTAGTTAATAAACTTTTATTAGTTATTGGTTTATTTAATTCTTTACTTAGAATTAAATATATTTCAAAAATTCTGTCAAGACATTCTATCTCTTCATTCATTTCACTTAATTCAATAGAAATAAAATCTCTATTAATAATATTATAAATTTCATTAGTAATTAACATATTTCCTTCATCAATAAGAGTGTTCTGAGGATTTCTCTTAATACAATTCTCAACAATACTATAATATAATTCTTGTAACTTTTCTTCTTGTTTCATTGAACTTAATTTCCTTCCTATAATTGTCATTCGTTCAATTAATATCTGTAATTCATCCTTAAAGCATTTATTCATGAAATACAATGTTGTTTGGTCAATTTTAATTTTTTGTACTTCTTGATAAATATATGTTTGGTGTTCTTTATCAATACAAACGTTCATTACAAAATTATATAAACAATCTAAATGTGATGTAATACAATGTTTTATGTATCTATGAAATATTTCAATCAATCTATAATCATTTTTATCTTTATTATAGGAATATAGTAATGTATCAATGAAAATACCTTTTACTTCATCAATCACTGTTTTTAATATATCGTATTTTATAAATGAATCAAATATTTGATAATAAATTTCTTCATTCTTGATAATCATTTCTTTATTCATCCCACTTTTTAATAGTCTTAATAACATAATACTTCTCTTTGTATTTTCTTCTTTAATTTCTTTCTTTTCTATTAATTCTTCAATACAAAATTGTGTAATTTTCTTAGACCATTTCATAGATTGATGGCATCCAATAAAGATATACTGAATATGTTCCATGTCAATATTTTTCTCTATACATTTGTCAATAACCATATTCAAGATCCTTTGACAATATTCATGTTTTTCACTGAATAATAATAAATAAATGTTTGATAAGTTCTTTCTATTCTTATCATTTACTGGAATAATTCCTTCAAGTATATTTTTGGTGGTTGTGACAATAACTTCATAAATGATTGTTTCATATATTCCTTTTTGTTGTATTAATTTCCATGATGCATAAATGAAATCACAAAATAATTGAATAATTTTTATGTTCTGATGTTTTATGATGAATTGTGAAATCAATTGAATAATATTTGTCATTTCTTCATGAGACATTTTAATCATTTCTGGAATCATCAATACAAAGATATTAATAACTCCAATTTGTACTAAAAATATATTATCATCATTAAAATCAATAACTTGACTTATTTTTAATATCTCTTGAATACTAGTCTTTGGAAATAATTGAATTAGTGAATAAAATATCGACTTTGCATTATATGGTTTGAGTAAAATAAGACTTTCTCCTAAAGAATGTATTATTGTTTTAATGGCATTTCCATTCTCAATAAATTCCATTGTTTCTTGACAAATTTCTTCTTTATAGTTTCTTAATGTTTGAACAAAATATTTTGTAAAATAAATTCCTAATGGTCTATTAACTAGATGTTGAATTAAATGATCCATCTCTTCAAGTATTGCTTTTTTGTTATGAACAATTCCATAAACTAACAATAACCCAACAAGTTTCATTTCATCCAAACCATCTACTGTATATAATTCTTTGAGACTTATTTGGTAATTCTCATTATTTTTTTCTTTGACTATCATGTCATTAATCTTCATATAATCTGGACTTTCAACACACTGCATTTCTTTAGGATACCATTGAATAAGAGATGTAATTCTTTTCTTTAATGAAATGTCTATGTCATTACTTTTCATCCTCTTCATAACTTCTTCTTTATCAAAGAATTTTGACAAAAATATTTGTATATCAACAGGCATTTTAAGCATTTTACTATTCATAAAGGAAGAATCAAGTCGTAATTTCTTCCATCCATCATGTTTTATTGGATGTCTCACAAATTGTGTTTCTGTAATGAGTCGTTCCATTAACAAATGAGTATAAAGAGTAATACATTTTAAACTCTCTTTATCAGCTCTCATAGCCATCTGAGTTAATAACCTTATTATCTCTTCTATTTCTTCATCTCTTAAATCAGCATTATTTAAGAAAAACCTTATTTCACTGATATTTTCAACTGGATATTCTTCAATACATCTTATCATTATCTCATGGGTTTGCATTGTTTAAATGGACTAAATGAGTTTTAGATTCTTTTTCAATTCTAAAGATACTTATATAATTCTTCAAAAAACTTCATCAAACTACCTTAACTTCCACTGATTTTATGTAAAATATCTTCATTGTGAATGTTTTTCATTATATTTCGTTATACAAAACAAAAAATAATCTCAATAAAAACAAAAAGTACCAAAGACTTCAAGTGAGTTAGTATGACAAGAAATAATCAGGAAAAGCAATCATTATTATTTTGTTAAGTCAAATGCAATTCTAGTAGTCAATTCAAGAATTATAAAAATACTATAAAATGTACTATAAATACTCAAATCAAAGATTCAGGAAAAAAGAATCTTCTTTGATCCAAAAATATAAATTAGAGGCGAGAGAAGTAGATCCAATTAATAGTGCATTGAAATAATCATGAAACATATGCCACGTAACAATGAAATTCGATGAAAATGTAAAAATAGAAATAAGGAATATTCCGATTCAAAACCCCAGTGAGTAGTTAAACTCGGAAGTCTATGAAATATTCATCAGTTCATGAGTTGTATTGAAGATCAAAGAGCTGTTTTATGCCAATGTACAATTTGTAGAAAAGTTAGATTCTTTACATCAGAGAAACCAAAAATTAAAACAACAAGACTTTGTGTTTTGATACTTCAATCATTGAAAGAAATAAAACCATTACAAGATTATTTTAATTTGAGAGATGACGTATATTCTTTCATTCAACAACATTGGAATATATTATCCAATCTTACAACATGTTTGTTTTAATACTAAATAAAATGAAATATAAAAATTGTATTACTTATTATGTAGTTAAGAAACAAAATTGGAAGAAATCAATTCTTGATGCCTTTAATCATTGTCCCCAAATAGAATCAGGAAAAGGGTTGTTTAATAACAGAGGATATTATAAATTGAAAGATGGAACTATGACATCTATTAGTGATGATACAGAGACATTAACAACTATGAATTCTATAGTAATGGGTTCCATTCAAAATGTTGTTAATCAACTATATAACAATTTATTAATTTTAAGTAAATTTGGTAATGACTCAATCGCTCAACAACATTCATATATTATGATGAATTTGTTAACTTCACTTTGTAATTAATATACTTCTTTTATTAAATCTTTTTTCTTTTTT